CTGGCTTATGATTCAGCCCTAATTCTAACGATTGTTTGATACATCCCACAATCTTGCAATTAATCTGTCATTGTCACAAGTATTAGAAATATAATATACTCCTAAAATAAGCAAATTAAACTTCTAAGACAAACTAATCTTCTTACAATAGGTAATTTCAGGAAGATAATTAATGCATACAGCGTATATTACTACTGGTGATCAGTACTGCTACTATGCATCATCTAAATGTAGTAATAAATACAATAAAATAAAATATTTTTCTATCTCTGTAATATTTGCGGTCCACCTCTAGATTTCCATCCATTTCAACATTAGTATGGAACGACACACATAAGCTCTGCCAAGTTTTCACATTCCTGCTTCACAATACAGAAAACTATTCAATTATTTGTGTTTCATACATTGCAAAGTCTATCAGCCTTGCCAAAAGAAGTGGAAATGGAAAAAGCCATTTTTTGTACATGGTATTAAAGAGTGTTGTACGTTGGTGCCCTCTACACACACTCTAGAGAACTGCATTACTTTGGTTTGGTTTAAAATAAACTTGAAAATGGGATGTGATAAAATTAAATAATTAAACAGTACTTCAGGAGCTTAATGAAATGAATGAACCATTGCAATGACAAAGAGTTCTAGTTTATTAGATTTTAAAATAGCAGAAAATGCTATTTGCTCTGAGTAGGCGTCATTGATTCAGTATTATCACCAACAATTTAAAACTTTTTCTACAAAATGTTTTTTTTTCCCTAAAAAGAAGTGTCCTCCTTTCTAATAATATCTTATACCTGTTAATTAAAGTTATTTTATTTAGAAATCTACAAAATCAAGTATCTAGGTTTTTTTAAAAAAAAAGGTAAGCGGTATTTTTTAAGTTTTCGGCCTGCCCAGGAAGCAAGAATGCAGCACAGAGGTTCTGCCTTGGCTGGGAAACCCTTCAGAGTAGAAACTGCCATTTACCTTGTGGCTGTAGGACACCAGTGAAGTGAAGAGGATGTGAGAGGATGAGGGCAAGACTGTAACTGTTTGGGAGGGCAAAAGATTTTGAAGTAGAAATAAAAAGTGACTTACAGTTGAAGCAATGCACAAGGACTTGACTTTAGATTGCCTTCAGTCAGCAGCGGCTGTGACTTACTGGTGAGAACTCAGGGGATGAGGAGCTTGCACTAACGAACACCCTGTGTCAGATAATAAAACAAAAAATGCACAGTTTTAACAAGAGTGATGGGAGATGAATCAAATTTTCAGTCAAGCCATGTTAAAAAAAGGACTCCAACTATCCATTTTACCAGCAAGTCCCCTCTACGCTCCATATGCTTCATGCTATGGAACAGACCCAAATGTGTTGTTGAGGCTTCTCATCATCTTGTATGACAGCGGGATTACAGTACACATAATGGTAAGATGTGCTCACTCCTGTATTCTGACACCTTTTAAAGTGATGTTTGTTGTTGGAAAGCCATGCAGAGGCATAAGTGTTATACGAAGAGCCTAAATGGAGCCCCACTGGTTCTTTGTGTGCTCTCCAGCTAACGGCACTGCTGACAGACAGCACTATTAAGTAGTCATTAGCACCGTGTCTGAAAGCTTGGCTTCTGCTGATAATAACAGGCTATTCAATATTTTGAGCCTTTGTAAGAAAGAGGGCGCCTAAATGAGAATAATGAGGTCATTCTATGACATGCCTGAGGATATGAAACCACGGGTAACTTTTTAGCCCGTTTGATATGTGAACGCATTACATTCAACTGTGACAGATTATTTCTAGCCTTCAAAAAAAAAGCTTCTTCCATTAAATCGCACCATACAACATCAGCGCCAAGTGGTAATCAAAACACTGGTGTCACTGTAGAAAGCACAACCTTCAAAATAATTCTGTGAAACATTATCAGAAAAAACCCCATATATAAGGACGTGTGTTGTAGAGCAAGGAATTGAGATACTGTCAGAAAACCAGCAAATTTTAACAGTTAGCAAAGTTTAAAAGGATTTTATGATAAAATGATCACTTCCAATTCGGCATGTTTTCTTTCGCTGACTGAGATGCACGGACTATTTTGGCTTCGAAAAGATGAACAAACTGAAATTTTTAATTTTAGACCCGCTACTTGCTTAGAGCAGTTGCTGTTTCTCTTAAAACTGGCTCACTTTCCTTTGCGAACATTTTACAGAAGGTTTTGCACCACGGGGCTATTTCAAGATTCTTCGTGCAGTCGAGCAGCCGGGGTTTTGTGTGGGGCCACGCTGTGTATCCATGTCCCACTGCAGTCTCTTAGGCAGCACATCGTTCCGTTTCCAGCTCTATCAGCCAACAGCTACAACCTCCATAGGTCTATGGATTAACAGGGTTCAGTTTGTTGCTCAGCTTTGCAGTTTAACACACTCACACTTCACAATTCCACTAGGAGAAGTCTCCCTTCTTCCTGGTTGTTCTCCAAGGTTCATCCCGTGTTGCTGCCCACAGAGGTGGGGCTCGGGCAATCTTCCTGTGCGTGCAAGTGTCACACAACTTCCAGGCTGTGCTGGCCCTTAGCTCTTTTTCTTCTTTTTGGGAAAGCTCAGTGACCTTTGCTAGACCAGTTGTGTGCCTGTGCGTCTACCTTAGCTTCATTTTAATTATATTTTCGTTTAGCATTGTTTTTAGTGGTGCCATAGGTGTGTAATTAAGGGACATCTGCATAATACAACTTACTTCTTTGTACTGAGCTTCAGCTTCTGTATGTTTGTTTGATGTCACAGCCTCAATGCACAAGCACAGCTGCTGGGAACTCAGTGCTGAGCTTTGTGAGCTCCCTCCTGCCCTGGGTGCCCACAGCTGGGGCAGCTGGTTGAGTACTGGGGATTGTGAGATGCACACAAGACATTGTGCTGGGGAGGACCTTTCCCTTAACTGGCTCCTTCACATACCTGGAGCCTGGAAAGAAAGAGGGGAACACCACAGCCTCCTTTCCTTGGGAACCACTGGAAAAATTACCACTCATGAAGGCTTAAAGGAAAAGAGTGGTTGGTGGGAGCAAGGGCAGGGAAAAGCACCTTGCTCCCAAAGAGCTCCACTTACCGGCAGGGAGTTGCTCTTTGTACCCACAGAGGAGTTGCCCTAGAGGGAAACAGACTTGGAAGTTGGCTTCTGTTCCAGTTTCTCTCCTTTTAATGTCCATTTTCTTGGTGTTACTGTTTTTTACAAGGGATTAACTCAGCGGTTCCATTTAGACTAGAAGGAAAGGTTTTATTCAAATTATTCAGGGGCTTTAACAGACTGTGTTAAACTTTTTGACTTCATCCAACCCTCAAGCTTATTAAAGGGTTTTTTTCATTAAAAAAGATTAATGAGTGATTGCCCTTTTTTAGTGGATACTTTTGAGATTAAGCCTCTCCAATGTTATAATTGGAGTAATGTGTACATGCCCTACCTGAAAGGCAATTACAAATACAGAGAATAGCACGAAGTATTTGTTTTATAATCCTAATGTTTCATTAGTTGATTGCTGGTTATGAATTATCTATCAGTTCAAATATAACAGTTAATTCTGATTACCGCTATTCTTGAATCACTAACAATCCACCCTGAATTTGAACAAAACACTGTCATGGAAGAATGGGAAGTAGGAAAAGGGACTGCTTCGTGGTGTCTTTTTGGTACATTAAAAAAAAGCCTTTTAAAATAGACTACAGACTTTAAATACAGTGGTTATTCATTAGCAGAAAGGCTAGAAAACTAAAAATGGTTTCTCAGTGTTCTCCCAAACAAGGGGTATCCACACTGGCTGGGGGGGCATAAGCCTTTGCATCAGCCTGGCTCTGCCCCTCTTGACTTTCAAGGTGGGCAAAACCAGGCTCTGAGACCCACACTGGGAGTGTTTTAATGCACCTTCATCATAATTATGATTTATACCTTGGGCAATCTTATTTTCAAAGCTGGAAAAGTAATTCTGCTCTTCATTAAATTAATTGCATAAGCCATGATCTTTAAATATAATGTGTATTCATTAAAGACTAAAATCTGTGAAGTTCTATTAAAAGCTAACAGATAATACGGGCAGTGTAATTGCAGGAGGCAAGTCTGGCTTTCCAACATCAAGAGGTGGTTTAAGCTTTGTATTTAGACATATTTCTTCATTATGCACTGGATTAATCTGCTGGTGTCTTCGGCCAGAAGGAATAAAAGACGACTCACTGGGAGAGATTTCCTTCTACTTTAACTCTGTGCCTTTACTTACTGAACCTTTAGATTTCTACAACGTCCCGTTGTAGTTACTGTGTGCTTTTAGAGCCCAAGCTGTCAAAATTCAGTAATATTAGAACTTCAGGTTTTAATAATTTAAGTCTCAACTTTAGGTCAAAATTTTTTCTAATCCTTATGTTTACAGAACAAATTCCAGTAAGTATACTGAAAGATTCCAATCCTAAAAGCCAAATAAAAAGACGACAGATTGTATTGTTTTTCATCTCACAATCTTTGGGTTAAATGCAGCATTTTTTAAACAATCTGAGTTTGCAATATTGAGAATACTGAGAGTGCTTATGTTATCAGAACCTGATCAGTAGAATCTGAAAAACTACGTTTAAACTCTTTCATTTAAAGTTTTCATTTGGCAGAACAAAGTAACTGTTTGTTTCAAATATAAAAATGCTATTGAGAAGAAAATCAAGCTGGTTTGGAATCTGCAAACTTAGGAATTCTTCTCCTCTGGATTCCACTGTATCTGAACCATCTTACTTGTCAAATGCTACATAATCTGGATTACAACGTTTCTGAAGTGATATAATGCACAAGAGTTCTCATGAAAAAAATCCCAAAGCCAACTTGCTACTGTGTTCTGACACTGCTGTCCATAAGAGGTAATTATGAAAAGGAAGATAATCTGACAATCATAAATTCTAAGCTATGACTTTTTCCCATTGATTCTAATATAAAATATATTTGCCTTCCTAAAAGAAGGCCTTTTTTTTCAAAGGAATTAAATGTTTGATAATAATTGTGGTTTTTTTCTTCTCTCTAGTGTTCATAATGGCTTCTGGACTTTTGGTTTACCCTTTTGGTTTCAACTCTGCTACTGTGAAGAGATTCTGTGAGAATTCAGACATCTACTATGCAGGAGACTGCCAGATTGGCTGGGGGTACATGCTGGCAATTGTTGGGGTCATGTTGTCTGTCTTTTTACCATTCTTTGCAAAATATGCACCAAAAGAGCACATATCTCCAACTCCAATACCTACTATTTTATAGTATTTTATTACTGTTTAAGAACAGAACATTCCTGTCTACGGGCAATGGGCAGAAATTATTATAGCACTTCCATTTAGCTGTATTGCTAAAGAGCAAAGAGGAGATGGGGAAGAGAAGGTCAGATTCACAAAGACCAAAAGTGCATTGATAGTCTTCCGTACGTACGAGCAGCGAACACTCTGGAACTGAAATAAGATGAAGCAGCAGCCTTTATACTGCTCTAAACATATAGTGGCATAATGCCTTAGACAAAAAAAAAATCGGTTTATCCTCAAAACATCTGTCTACCTCCCAGTTTCTTTTGTGTCTCAAAATTGTAAGTCTTTTAAAAGCTTCAATTCACTTTTTATATATTATTAAATGTCAAAACTTTTATGAACCCAATAATTTTAAAATCAATAATGATATTTTGTTACAATTGTTTTGATTAGTGACAAAAGCATGTACTAGTAGCCACGGCCTAAAATTAAGTTTGATATCTAAAATGAACTGTATTCAAGAAAAGTTTTTTTAATCTATATGTATTAGTAGTATCTGCATATTTTAAGTTGTTGGCACACTTTTTAATACTGATCTAATCGTAAAGAATTAATCTTCATGAAGGCTTGCATAAAATTTAAGTTAGATCTCTCTTTGTCTGAAAAGAAGTAACTACTTCCAAAGGCTTCATGATGATTTAATAGTTTAACAACAGCAAAAAAAAATGCCAGAGAATTTTTTTTCAGTGTTTCTTAAATTATAATTTTAGGTGGACTTTTACAAAATTATTTGAACTATTAGAACAGTAGATTTTGTTGTTTGATTTTTAAGGCCAAAAAGAAAAATCTGTTTAAAAAAATGTATGTGCCCAATGGCCCCTATATGTAGCGACAGTGCGAGCCAGAATGAACTAGACTCTAATATTTCCATTAGTATTAAGAGCCCATTATTGTTTAAAAAAAAAAAAAAAAAGTGAAGTGAAATGCTACTGATCACAACTAATAAGAATCTGATGCCATGTCAGAACTAGCAAATGGCCATATTTCATGAGTTTGTATGTGAAATTTGTGAAGTCTGATTTCCACAATAGCACTGAATTCATTACTATCAAGCATTGAAATAAGTGCACTTGATTGCCTTAAGCAAAAGAAACATTGGGTTCTAATCTCACTCCACTGTTATGTTTTTCATTTAAAAGAAAAATTGAATTCTAATTCTATTCTCATCTTTTATTTTCTATTATTTATTAAAAAAAGAAGTAATCACATAGATTATATTTAATTCAGAGCTGTACTTCTTAGTTTTGTATTTTGGCACAAACCAAGTGATTGAATTTATTCTTCACTTAGCTGAGTCCAGCTGATTCCTGAATTTTTTATTTTTTTTCATGTAAAGTGTACATGAAGGGACAGACAGAGACATGTTGAGGATGTATAAGAAAATGCAAACAGAGAGAACAATCACTGTGTTATTTTAAGAAACGTCAAAGACTTCTGTAGTCTTGTTTACATTCCTCACCCTTCTTAACTTCAATGGAACGTTGCATTGTTTTCCAAAATAATTGTCTGTTGTTACATTTTCATGCACTCTAAAAGCAAATTCTGCACATAAACCCAGCAAGTTCCATTACTAATCTTTGAAAATACAGGTTTCAATGTAGAATTAAGTACACCGAGAGACTGCATGTTACGCGTTTTTGCTCTCAGTGACTAAGGAATTCAATCTTCCAAATATTTAACAAAATAGGTTGAAGGAATGCCTCTAAAGTAAGGAGAATAAATTTCAGTCACTTCTGTATAGTAATGTACTTTTCAATAATGTCTTACACTTTTGTTTTCTAATGAACGGCTGAAATAGACAATTTTCATATGAGAGTCAGAAAAGTGAGGAATAACAAACAACAAAAGAAAATCATCACCACGGAGTAGAGAGACAGAGATGCAGGCTTTTCTTTCCTAACCAACCTGTGCCTTTACACTAGAACCATTATACAAGACAGGATCAATATGGTTAAAAAAACAAACAAAACCCAACAACTGAAAAATGTTGAGTAATGTGTATAAACTGTATTACGTAGGGTTTTTTCTGTTTTGTGTAATGTTTATGACTGTTCACTTAATGTTTCACTAGAAAAAGTGATTTGTTAGTGTAAAGTAGAAAACTTTTTTTGCAAAGATCTAAACACTTACCGAAAGTAAAATTATTTTAGATTTTTATTAACAGCCATAACATACCTCCTAGACACAAATGACTTATTCCTGTCATTACTTATTAACATAACTTTCACATATGCAGAACTGGAACCATCAATCATTCAACTGAAATCAGTAGGACTACAATGTTTGTGTGATGTTGATGACACACACAGATGCTTTCAGGCCTGCTCCCATAGTTCAAGTTTCCTTTGCAGTTTTAAATTACTGTTACAGTGGAGCCTTACAATTTACAACACTGCTGTCCCAAATCCTTTACTTCTTAAAACTCAAATTCTGTTGTGAAGATGGACAAGCTCCACATTGTGTAATATTCTGCACCTTTTACGAGTTAAGCTAATGCTTCCATTTGGAACTTTCTTTAATATTTTATAATATATAAAGAAAATCAAATATATGTATATGACCTCTACAACTGGATAGACAAAACTCTCCGTGAAACATCCACGCTCAGAACCAGCTTAGCACAGAAGGTAGAGAATGCAAGTGATTCTTACAACAGTTAGTAAAGCATATACTTTAGATCCTCAACTGGAACATTAAGGGGGAGTGTTGCCAACAATACACGTACTAACACTGACAGATCACTTTTTTAAATAAAAACTGTCTGCGCGTTAAACTGTGTAAAAGCGTTTCCTGTTACAAGTCAAACGATTTACTGGACCAGGTTCAAGTTTTATTCTAAATATATAATTTTTTAAGTGTAACTAAAAGCTGTATTTTCCATTAATGTGTTTCTGCGTTGACTAGCTGGCTCCTTTTTAGAATATTAACTGTTTTCTGTATTTGACTTGTTGGATACAATATTTCAATTATTTTAAATGTGAAATTTCCAATTGCCAACACTGTATAATAAAATTTAAAAAAAAAATAATCACACTGTTCACTGTTTTCTTGACAACTCTTTTGTTTTACGATTCCCACAGATCTGGTACAAAGCTATTGAAGTAGGGGAACTAGCTAAGGGGAAAAGGAAATAGAAACAACAGGAATAATCTATGAAAGTTAATGTTTGAAGGCAAAGACACATAAACACATACACGGTCCATCCCTCATGAAAGATGTTTCTATGGCAAAGGCAAGGAAGTTCTGTGTTCAAATAGTTATTTCCCTCCAATTTCCCCTGTGTCCTTGAGCAATCTTCCTACAGCTTCAGGATGTGTTGCTGTTTCATACGGGTGTTATACGGATTATTTATTTTAAAAAACAACATGAATCAGATAACGTATCAATGGGGACCATATGAATACCTAGTATATACAGCTGCATCCTGTGAAATCTTTCTGTATATCTATTATGTTCATTTCTAGAAAGCTTTAACACATGTTCTTGTAATCCAGCCAAGGAAGGGGAACCTGTTAGTCAGAACTGAAGTGAAATAAAGATACCTCCTTACTTTCTACCAAAGAGCAGCTTTAATGCAACATGCAGAGCCAAAGAGAACTTTGGTGACGTTTGTTTGCTATTAAACTCCTCAAAAGACTTATATAGTCAACATTTTGAAACAGGTATTGAAGGAATTTCTAAGAACTGGAGATCATGAAGAACAATGGCAATCTCAATTAGTATTGATGATCTTTTTCTAAAACACTTGCACTACTGCAAAACTTCAGTGTTTTAATTCAGAATTTCTCCAGTAAAATCTAACCTACTATGTAACAAAACCCTTTATATATAACTAGCAAAGATAAGCTATGAAAAGTAATAATGGAAACAAAACATTGGTACTAACAGATGTTGGATAACACAGCATAGTCACATTTTCAATTATTTAATCAGATTTTCTGTATTAGTTTTGGAAAATGCTTTAGGATGTCTAGCCTTTATGGGTAACGAGTAAAAAATATTAGTTTCAGGCAACCGTCTTAAGTTTCATTCATTTTTTTTACATATGCTGTCATCTCAATATCTGCAATTTTAACGAAATCTTGGAAAGTGTTTTGTTCTTGAATAGTTGCTGGTCTTACAGAGACGCACTTGAAAATGTTTCTCTTTGCATCATAGTTTCCCATGCACCTGTGCACTCGACCTCTAATTAGTCTTGGAAGCTCACGGTCCTTCATCAAAAGCATAATAAACAAATAAAAAAAATTATATTACCTAACATAAAAGCTTTCAAAATGCCTGGTTTCTGAAGACAACATCAAACACAAAAGGAATTTACGTCAGCTTTTTTGCTATTACCAACTCCTTAGAAGCTGAACTGAAAGTCCCACCTTTTTTGCTGAAACAGATGCCTGGGGATACCTGAACAGTGATGGATTATTGCTCTAGACCAGTTTGGGAACAATACAGTATAAGCATCCAGCTTTCCTTTTACACACTAATTTTATGTTTCATCAGAACAACATAGTGTTAGCTTTATAAAAGGCATAATAGCTAGTGGTGTCTATGTTATGTACGGAACCAGGAATACTTACAATTTCGTAAAATACACAAGGCAGAGTCTCCTTTCCATCTCTCAAAAGGAAATTTTTTGCCCCATATGGTCCAGGTGTGACTGCAGAATCAAGCGTACCTATACCATTCAGCAAAATTAAATCATGATGTAACATCAGAGCAGCACTAAGTATGAGATACAAACATACCATGACAACCTTTACTACACAAAAAAGCACTAAGATCCACCAATTCGGCACCGTCTTTCTGTGAGAACTTGTGCTGACAGCACTGGAAGTTCCAATACAATTTATGAGCTCTACATAGTCTTTGTATAGCAAAATTGTATATGATATCTCTCTGAACCGAGTCACCAAATGTACTTTTCATAACCATCACTGTAAACAAGTTATTCCCTTGTTAAGCACAGCAGAACACAGTTCTCATTAAAGTTTTATTGATCTTCATATGCAAATCGACTTTAAATATTTGCAACCTTGTCAAAGTAATAGTTTTCTGAGATGCCATTACATTGTATTCTTATTCATCTTGCTTTAAAGTTTAGTTATTTCAGTCTTTTGTCATGTTCATTTCTCAGATAACGTCAATTAATATGCAAAGTGAAACACATTAAGTCATCTACGTTTAGAAGTACTCCAGACTTGAATTTATCCTAGATAAATTGTATTAAAAATGACTGTAAAACTGTACCTCTCTGTTCCTATTAAATAGGAAAATTTATTGTAACATCCTAAAAACAAGAAAAGAAAATAAATAGGGTGGAAAGAGCTGAAATATACCTATTGTACCTATTTTAGTCACCTTTGAGAGCTGAATGGATCTCCCAGTAGGAAAATTAGCTGGTGCTCATGCCAGTATTTTGTAAGATTAATTATTTCAGCTATTGTTCCTACAGTTAATAACATTTTCTCTTGGCTGTTGTCCTACCATTATTATCAGTTATAGCACAATCTACCATGCTTACCTAAAACTTCAAATAATAGTGGAGTTTTATCAGCATATTGACTCCAGTGCCTCATACTCTCAATGACTGCAGATAAGATTCGCAAAGAATTCTTTTTTTCTTTAATTTTTAATTGAGATGATGAAACTTCCTTTCAGAGGAAGATGAAAACTCAAGTTAGAGACACACACTCATACCATTTCAAAAGGCACACAGACATTTATAGGTTATGCTAAACACCAAATATTTACATTCAAATTACAGTATTTGTTCAGACTATACAAACAACTCCCTGCCAATTTATATGATCATGCTGAGAGTTGTAGGCTATTATAGTATGGAAATTTCAATTCTAAATTTTCAGAAACTTAAGAGGTTTACTAAGGCAGCTAGGACTGATGAAAGCCTCATCTTCCCTCAATTTTCTTTACTGTTCTCTTCATTGTATCTTCCTATTAACTCTCTCCATAAGTTTACCTGACTTTTGTCTTCTGGAACACAATCAGATTGGTTTTCATTCATTTTATTTTGTGGAATTTTGTGGTTAAACTTATATGGGAGACTACGATCCTGCAGACTTCTTGAATCAGTGTTAGGTTTCAGTGGCCACTGTCCTTTAGATGTGTATGTTTGGCTGGTTTCTGTTGTTTTGACATGCTGAGATGAATTACGGTTATCAGAGGTTTTGTGCTGCTGAACAGTTTTCAAACTATTTGAAAGGCTCTCAAACTTTCGAATAATTCCACTATTAGATCTTGAACCTGTTGTATTACTTAAAGGAGCATACTCATTTCTGTTCCAAACCTTAGTACTGGGAGCCTTCTCTTCTGCCCTGCAGTACAACATAAGACACAGTTCAGTATCACAGTATCTATTTTGAATACTCAGATATGTAATAAAAGCAACCTATATATCGTCGTTTTGGCTTTAAAAACAGCTGTTAAATATTCAGACTCAAAACACCTGAGTATACACTGAAATTTATCCATATACAGGGTATTGATCACACCTGTGCTTAAATCCAGCTGAATTCAATAGGCCATAAAAGCTTGCTCAATTATCATCCTGCCCTGTAGAAGGGATCTTTCCTGACCCAAGAGTCACATTTTTTTCCACAACTCCAAAATCAAATAAGCAAAGCTTCTTCTGAGAGGGCTATTTTCAAATTGTTCTATCACCATCACTGAAGAAGTCATTTTACAACAAACTCTAGTGTTGACCGTATTATTTGGAACACCCTTGGTTCTATAAAGGCATCTCAGAAATTGCTTCCACCTACATTCCATTTTGCCCTTGTTTGAAACATTCACTCTCTTTTTGCCATTGGGGAGGAATAGGAGGAAGGGAACAGAGAAAAAGGACAATCACAACATTGTTGGAAGTTTTCCTGCCAGCTCTATGCATCTGAATCTGTAAGCTTTTCCTTGGTTTATAAAAGCACAGAGTTCACAATTATATCCAGTTTTGCTTAAAAGTTTTGATATACGATGGCCCTTATTACAATTACAGAAGCTTATTTGAGTCTATTGATAAATTTTACTTCAAGTAAAGGGGAATCTCAAAAAGTTACATCTAAGACAGGCAAAATTCAATCAACTTTTATGGCAAGACTGAATTTTAGGCTGGATAATAAAGCTAGATATTAGGTCTGATTAATAGGCCTCATTAGCTACACTGGAAAGATACTTAATTTCAGTGCCATTTGGCTCATAAGCACAATGGAATTATTGAGGACTACAGTGATGATCTGAGAGTTAAAAGGGTCCCTCTGAATGCTACAAGAATATTGAATAACATAAGATATATTTTCACATGCGAATAATTTTCGTTAAGGAAGGATAATAAAAATTAAAGACTTCACCAACCTGCAGGCATACGAGTTTTTTCCAGCATTTGTTAAATGCTTTGATGCATTCAGTGGTTTCATAAGGGAAGGAGCGACCTGATGTTCTGTTCGGCTTTCAAAGACAATGGACTTTGATGCATTTGGTGGTTTCATAAGGGAAGGAGCAACCTGATGTTCTGTTCGGCTTTCAAAGACAAGTTTAGTATCAGTGACAGAGCCACAGCGTTATTGTAAGACAGACACATGGATCATAGTTTGTGAAATAATTAGTACCCAAATAAAAATCAATAAGGGACAAATAATTGGCTTTTACATACCCATTGTTTGATGCATTCTGTAGTTCAGCCACTTCCGGGTTTGCAGTTCCCCAGCCTAATTCTCAAAAGACAAATGATTTAATATGGATACAAACTGAAAAGACTGAAAAGGCAATAGGTCTACTTAGGGCTCCTGATCTTCATCAGCTGAGTGTTCCACAAATAGTCTCACAGAGGAGGGAGAATTAAAAAAATATTTAAAAAAAAAAGGAACACGATCTTTTGATATAAGGCAGTTTCTAACAAGTAGGTTAATCCTCCAGACTTTTTCTTTATTATAAGCAAAGTTTTTTACTTTATTATAAGTAAAACATAATGAAAGTACCAAAGGCAGAATTCTGCATCATTCTTTCCGAGTAGAATTTGAGGAACATAAGTTCTCTTCTGAATGACAAGAAAGACATGTTATAAATGTTTCTTCTTGTAACACAGGACTTGAATGTTGATTGAAATCAACTGAAAACAAAAGGTCAGAGTTTCAAGAGACTCTATTTAAATGCCAGTGCTACTTCATTCTCCAACACACAAAGACTCAAACTCCCTCTAGGCACAAAGTATAAAAAGCTCAATTGTATAAAGGAGAAAGAAATTTCCTGAAGGACATTTTTTTACATAATGAACTTTTCAGAAATAAACAAGGATGATACAGTTCTTGATAATGTCTAATTTAATAAAATACAAGTATAAAGTTAAGATTTATTTGGATTTAGAGCCATTGCAAAAAATATATATCTTACTTACCAAATGATGTGGGAGAAAAGTTGTAATTACGAGTCCCAGAACTGGTACCTGGCTCATTTTCAAGTGGATTTGAAGTGAGGGGTTGTCTATTTCTTTTTTTCTGATTGAACAGAGGTACAGGCAGACAACCTAAAATTAAATTTAAAATAATAATACTACTCTTCCAATAGCAAAATTGTACAAAATCTACACTTAAAATATGTAAATAAATTTAGGCAACAATTATTTTACAGCATTCAGAGGAATTACATTTCATAAACATGTAACAGACCAGCCATTGCCTCCCAGAATTTCTATTCCCAGCCCTCTGTCCTGCACATAATCCTGTGAATGAGACATTTCCCTTAGTGACCAGTCCCCTGACTCTATTCAAAATCTTGCCCTGTGCTGCAATAAAACAGATAACCCATGCAAGGCCACTCAGGAACTGGGGGTCTAGGACTGAATACTCGATATGCTGTATGAATACTATGTGTGTGTGTGTGTGTATAGATACATATAAGCATAATGAGGTACGAACTGCAAAGCACAAATGAAGGGATGGTACCTGCCGTGCTGCGAGTTGAGGTGTCAGCCAAGCTCCTTTTCATTTCTTTGCCGTATCTTAACAGGCAACACTGTATTGATTACTCCAAATTTGCTGTATGGAAGTTGGATAAGCAGACGCAATAAGCTAATTAATGTTGTAAACATATCTAAATTTTATGGCAGTTTCTCTTAACTCTAGGCACCCAGTGACAGGCATCGCTTCAGAAAAAAGCCTAACATGCGAGCAGTTATACTGAATTTAGAAGATCCACATGTAACAAGCAATTGCTCTTTGTAGATTAAGGGCTCAAATGATTACATTCTTGAAGTAAAAGTTTTTTTAAAGTGGATTAAAAATATTTATTTCATTTCTGAATTTAAAAGCACGTACACAAATACAAGGATTTTTTTTTTAAATCCTGAAAATAGAATGCTAATAGAAAACGCATACTTACACATTGCTGCAAAGTGTGATGGCAAAGTACATGCTTTGAGTAAACAACTTAACTGTTCTGTAAAAAAGTGTCACGCTTCAACAAATAAACTTATTTTCTGTACTTTATGGTACAGACCTAAAACCTTTACCCAATTTCCTCATATATAACATCCATCACAAGTTAAAATCACATTATTATCAAATATTATCAACAAAGTATACATTAACATATTAGGTACAGGTAGTTTGTTTCCTGATTACTCGTATAGTGAATGTTTATACATTTCTCCATACGTTGAGGATACTACACAGACTGTTATGTAGCTTTTGTTGCTATTCTATCACAGTTAGCTACTGGTGCATATTGCCTTTAGTGGCACGTGAATAATACCACATACTTGTGTGTATAAATAATGTAAGACATTACCTGTACATTTGTTTTGATCTGGCAGTTAACAATAGGCAGCTATTAAAGATGCTGCTCAGAATGAAGCACAATTATCTACTACAGCTAGACTAATAGATCAACTCACGGTCTATTTCAGTGAGATACGTCAATTACACGTTACATTACAGCAACTTCTAGTTCATTGCTGTTATACAATTTAGACTGTATTGCTAGCACTATGAAGCCTAATGGTTATCAGTAACTTGTACAATAAAACCCCATGAACTTGACATTTCAGTTTACGAAGCCAGTTTTGGGGTTGCATAGCATTTCAGATTGCATTGTTTTGCTTTCTGTCCCCTCTTGATGGGCAACCAAAACCCAGACCTAAAGCTATAGAAAAAAAAAATTCGGCTAAGGCTAGAGAGGAGGAGAATACCTGGGCAAGCCTCTCGCTGTACTTCACACAGCAGCAGCACCAGACACTGGCTAAAAGTGCCTGAAGCCCTTGCTGGAGGCTGAGGGAGAAGGCTGAGGAGAAGCCCGCCAAAAATAACGGCCCGAAAGCGAGCGCCCTCGCGCCTGAGGGAGAGGAAAAAGGGCGGGAAGGGGCTGCTCGCGCGCTGCTCCCTGAGGCGGGGCTACCGCAGGGGGCGGCCCTGAGCGACGGGCGGCGGCACCGGCCCGGTGGGAGAGGGCGGCGACGGGTGGGGGGGGGACACGGTTAAGTTGGTCCTTTCGAGGATTTAATCAATTACCTCCGTACCCGTGGAGCTGGTGCAGGTGATGTTACGTTCAGTACTTAAGAGAACCCGGGGCTGGAGCTGAATTACCACAAATGTGCGAACACAAACATAAATAAAAGTCTTTTGCATTCTCAACGCTGTTTGTCTCTTCAACCACTCTTCTGTGTTGTACACACTGATGTCAACTGTGTGAATCCTGTCTGGTTCCTGTATAAAACCTTCGGCAAGACTGGGGCCTGTACTGTTTTTGTAATCCTTCAGCCTTAGAAGGCTTTGGTTTCATATACATTTTATTATTGCATATGTTTTTCAGCTCGTGGCACAAATTTGAAGCACTGCCAGATAATTGTATGTAGTACGTGACAGCAGTCTGAACTCTTAATGAACTAAACACGATCCTACACCATTTTTCAAAGCGTAAGTATTGGCACAGCACAGGAATGAGGGATTTGTCCCGGTGTTTAATTGAGAAGAGCAAAAGCTTTTCAAGTATCTGCATTTATGCCACAAATTTGTGGGTGCTCGTAATGCCCTGGGAGACCAGGAGTTAAAAACTAATTGGAAGTAAAGTTGTTCTAAGGGTATAAAAGAAGCCTCTAGAGCTTTAGTTCCTAAACTCATGTTTGGAAACACAATCTGCCCTAAAAAAGCTCTTCTTGGGGGATGAACTTCTTGCATGTTAAATGAGGTAAGTGCACAAATGATCTCTGTTCCATTCAGTGTTTTGCAAGGAACGATAACTGCTGCAGTACCACCAGCAATCAAAGATAAACTATACGTTCTAGCTCGGCATTTTTGCGTTTTGCCATCCACTTTTGGAACTGCTGTGGTGTTTAAATGCAGCAAACCCTAGATTCGGGGCGTGAGGGGTTTTCCCAGGCAGGGTGTAAATTGCCGTCCTGGCACCACCGCCGAGGAGACGAGGGTCAAAGGACAGTACAGACTGTCCAGCATTGTAAAATACAGCTTTACTGCTTTGTTTAATAAATTACTTACAATGATTAAATACCCGACAGCTTCCAAGTGCAGCAGTAATACAGCTGAGCGTTTAAGTAAACAGCTGCTCTGTATTAACTCGTTGTAAGGTTCAGCAAACCTGTACACACAAGCTGAAACAGAGAGAGCAACTTTGGTAGGAAATATATTCCTGGCAGAACTTGTCTTGATAAGTCCTATGTTTAGCTTTATTTTCATAGCCCTCCAGTCTATTAGCCTGCGTTACTAAGCCTTTCCTAGGCACGAGCCAAACAGTCCCTCAGCCACTGGAGTATAATCTTAATAAACAACAATGTTCAATAAACACTCTTTATTCCCTTGCAATATAACCTTTTTTTTATATTTATATTGTATGTCAGATACTAATTGCAAATATTTCTGTCATTTACAGTAGTTATTATTACAGTTTCTGTTATTAAGACCTTTTGTTCTAACTGTTTTGATCCTCATGATGCAAGTTATGGCTGCATTTTGGCTTAAGTTTCAGAAGCCTCTCCGAATGCTTTCAGCAATGGAAAAAATCAAGTTGTTGGCTAAGGGTTATTTTGGGGGAGAACACACCTATTGTCCCATGGTGGTCTGTACCTGTTTCCTTTTCAATAAGAGATTGCAGAAGTTAGAAGGGCCGTCACTGACAAAGTTGTTCGATGTGTTAGAGGTCTGTGTTAGCAGATCCAGAGGCGGAACTAGAGCCAGGAATACTTGGTAAGTCAGTCGTGGATAAATTGCAATTTAATTTCAGCTCATGTTTCTTCTCATCACTGTTCTTCAGATACTAGAAAACAAAAAAAGGTCATACAAGCAACAACATGCTTTGAGGAACTCAGCTGTTCTTGGGGTTTTTTTTAGATGAAATTACTTGATGTTTCAGCATTATGTGTTGATCAAGAGCCAAGATACGATTCATATTTTACTGTTTTTGCTCACTTTTAAATCATTCTGCCCTTGTTGTGAGAATACAGTAATGTTAATGTAATGTAAAACATACATGAGCATACTTGTTATACCTAGTTTGCAATGCAAAAATGTGACATTTAAGTGCATTATTAAAGTTTACATTTAAAAAGCCTTTTCATACTGTCATTAATACAATATCTACCTATAGATCATATATTAATAGAGATTGCCTATAGAAGTTAACTTTTGAACTGTGTGACAGTACCTTTAACAGACGTGGGGATATGACTACATATGGTAAGTGAAGGGGAGGGTTCCTGCAGAGGGAGGAGTGCCAGGATAGCAACTCCCCGCCTCCCAAGGGGAGTCTAAAACTCTTAGAGAAATGTTTATTCACTTTCATTCACATCTGACCTAAAAAGGCTTAAAGAATTTCCTATTAAAAGAATAAAGAGCCTTTTTTATTGTTTTTTGGGGGGTGGCAAAAGTTTTACTTTATCATTATTTTCTGTTTTGCTTTCAGCAATTCTTAGAGCTGCTGAAAAGCATGACTTCGTCTTCTGTTGTTGATAAACCTCCGGTAAGACGGGTTGCTATCTTCGGGGGAACTCATGGCAATGAGTTATCAGGGGTATTTTTGGTCAAGCACTGGGAAGAGAATGGAGCTGAGATTCAAAGAAGAGGAATGGAAGTGAAACCATTTCTTACCAACCCAAGAGCCGTGAAGAAGTGTACTAGATACGTTGACTGTGATCTGAACCGTGTGTTTGACCCTGATAATCTTGGGTAAGAATAGTTGTACTTTCTGTTGTTTTACTTTTCTGTCTTTTAAAATTGTAAGGAGCTTCCTTTCCAGATTAAAATGTTAACACAAGTTCCACTACTATTTTAACTGTGCAGTCACATAACTGAAATTATTGACCTTTAACCCAAAAAGAACAAATTGCGTGAGTGTTAACAGATTCATTTTAAAAGTACTGCCAGTAGAATGAGTCTCAAACCAACATATAATCTTAAAAACAGCATTTAAAATTAGTATTAGATTAGCTGTATTTGTGTTAAGTATTGCTGGTCTGAGATACAAAGTCATTATTTTTCACGTCTTCCTGTGCAATTCAGCTTTGGAGCTCTTCTGAATGCAACTATACTTGCAGGAAGATAGCAGATAAAAGCAATTTAAAGGTGGACATCTGAGTATCTGCAGGAATGGCATACAAATCAGGGAAGTCTATTTGATTTCAGTTATATACAGTAAAAGATACAAAACTTGAAATGAGCCAAGTTAGAAATAATGTATTCTATGGTAAAATGATGGCCACAAAGCCTCACTAATTTAACTGACTTATTATTTTAGAAGAAATACAATCTAAAATTACTGTAAAATAGTAAATGATTTTACATTTTTAATGGTATTTTATGTTTCTCTGCTTTTGAGACATCTGTTCCAGAAGTATAATGTGTAAACATTCTTATGCTTAGTATAGTTGCAAGCTGAACAGGTAAAAAAGTGTCAGAAAAGTTTTAATAGTAAAGGTGAATATCACTGAAAGAAATACGTGTCACATATTTTGTAAGCGTGATTATTCTTACGCTGCACATCTTTTCATCTGCCTTTTCCTCTTAGAATTTTGTTGTTGATTATTGTATTTAAGATAAACAGACTTTTTAACACGTAACTATTGAGGCCATTCTTAATTGCTTACTTAGGAAAACATCTGGAAAAATAGTGGTTTTGTTTGTTTTCAGCTGCTTTGAACGTTTTCAGCTGCTTTGAACATAAAACACTTGACAAAATAGCAGGTTAAGACAGTTGCAGGTTGTCTTAATTTTTGAAACTAATACTCCTCAGTAACTCCTATTAAATTACCCAGTCCTATTACAACACTGCTGAATGTTTGGAATAGCTTCACCTGATCCCTTTAAGTGTAGGCCCTTCAAGATTACAAATTATTTACAAAATAAGAAAAAGGAGAGTGAAATCCTGATACTACTGAAAGTAAGGGTTGGCTATTGGCTCCAATAAGAAGCATTTAACAGTCTTATGTGAAGAAACCTTGAATTTCAAGCACAGAATTAAAGAATACAAAGGTAGATTATGTGATACACAGAATCATAAAAAGAGGAAAAGGAGCTTGAAGGGCTCACATAAAAATTCTAATCCATCTCACATCCCACAGTAGGTCAACCACATGTAGACATTCCCAACAGATTATGTCTTACCATTTCTTACACTCCAGCAGTGGTGATCCCATAATTTTCCTTGTCAGCCTCTTCTGATACTTAAATATCCATGCAGTTAGTAAGTAGTAAGGTGTTTTGTTAGTATTTAAAAAAAAAAACAACTTTCTTTATGCCACTTAATACTGATATTTCTTAGAAAATTAAAATATCACCAAACTGGAGCTGTTGTAAAAAAACCCTGAATTTAGCACAAAAGATACTAGGTGTTTCTGTATTGTACTTGGGTAGTATCCCAAGCCTGTTGTCAAAACCAGATTTTTTTGTCTGTGCAGAACAAGCCTGAATCTGCAACAGTTTTGTACACTTTTAATACGTAAGAGATCTTTGTGTCATACATCAGTTTCCTACAGAGCCCTTATACCGACAGGAAGCCAATCTCAGACCTTTCCTTAGGCTAAGACTGTTTCTTCAAAGTGTAGTACAGCTGTAGTCACCTGAGATTACAAGCACTAAAAATCTGAAGGAACAGAGTTGAGGTAGCAAAATCTTTTATGAGCTTTGAGAGTCAGGAGGGCTCAAAACAAGAGACTGTAAAAGTCTGATCAGAATATGAGAAGACAAGAAATAAAGCAACTTATGAAAGGCATTGTGACTGATGTCCAAGGTAAAAGGGCACAGACCAAGATCTGAATACTCTCTTCAGCAGGAGGTAGATCCAGTCTTGGAAGGGGTTTAAGTTGTTGATAAATTTTGAGTTAGTTTTCTGCATAGGGGTAAATTTGGGGATGTAAAGAAATGAGAGAAGTAAATAGTCTCCATCTAAAATCAGATCAAAAAATTCTGACTACCCTTCTACACAAGACACATAATAGTGAGACCTGTTTAACGATTTTCAAGGACAAATTAATTAAATTTTAACAGTTCAGTAATTAAATAGGTGATTTCAACTCCAGTCAATTATGGAATTAAAGTAAAAGAAAAGGGTATACAATATTTTGTTGACTGTAAAGCCATGGAATGAGTTCACTAATTTCTTTGTACTGATATTAACAGCAGGACAGTGATGGAAGATATTCCATATGAAGTGAGAAGGGCTCAGGAAATCAATCATATATTTGGTCCAAAAGGTAGTGATGATGCGTATGACCTTATTTTTGACCTTCACAACACCACTTCTAACATGGGTGGTACCCTTATTCTTGAAAACTCCAGGGATGACTTTACAATTCAAATGTTTCATTATATCAAGGTAAAACCAATTTAAATGAACTATTAAAATAGATTATTAATTGTAACGTTGTATTACTATATATTATTTTGTAGTTTCTTTAAATATACTAATATTTATTCTGCAAAACTGTTTAAAATATTTAATCACATGTAGGATGGGGTTTTTTAATCAGAGATAATTATAAATTTTGATTATAACATCAGGCAATTCAGATTTGAACTCATCATGATCTTTATGTATTAAAATGAATGTTAGTAAGACTGATGGGCAAAGAGGAATGCTTAGAATAACATCTATGAAAATGAATGTAATTTAATCTGCTTTCACACTGATCTGTCAGGAACTTGGATAAATTTGGGTCACACATGCTAAATAGTTAAACATTAATTTTATGAAATAAAGACATGGAAAAAATAATGGAACTAGGTAATGACAGATGTTCCCTTCATCAGTATTTATAGGAACAGTGATATGTCTTTAGAAGCTGCTTGATTCTGCTGTTTCCGAAGTGGTTAAGTGTTGGTAGAGGGAGGTTTGCAGAAGTGCTGGTTTAAGCGTAATTTGGTTGAAGGACTAGTGACCTAGACAGTGACTGATGAAATCAAGGTTAGGGCAATGCTGTGCCATTTCAATTTTTTTTCCCTTAGAAACAAGTTATATATTAACATTTGATTTTTTTTTTCTTATTAAATGTATCCCATTTAAATGTTTTTAAAATACTTGAAGTTTAGAAAGCTTATGACTGCAATTTTATGAAGAGCAATGGCAGGCAGTCATCAAGAAAGAGGCCTGAAATAGGTTTCTGCGTCAAAAAAAGGTTAAAGTAAGGCTTAATTCACAATCTAAGGCCTCATAAAAGAATCTAGGTCTAACACAAAAAATACTTGAAATCTGCTTTTTGGTGTTTTGATTCCAAGTTTTGGAACACTGATCAGTAGATTTTACTTCCTGTTGGCAAGTTAAGACTAGAACTGTGTTCTTTGCCATTGCAAAGTTCAGTGGAGCATGCCTGGCTTGAGTTAATGGAAAGGAGACCAACAAATACAGCTTTGTGTTTTTTCTAAAGATGTCCTACTTCTTTGAGGGCTGTGAAATAAAGGCAACATATTGAAGACATTGTGTAAATCACTTCTGCATCAGTAATCTTTTGTGGCACAACATTTTAAAATATTTGCATAACAAAGACATTTTTAACCAATCTCCACAGAACGCTTTGGCTCCAGAACGCTGTCCTGTTCTGCTGATTGAACATCCTAGCTTGAAATATGCAACAACTCGATCTGTAGCAAAACATCCTGTTGGTAAATATGAAAAATAAAGACTATTTTAACCCACCATAAATTATTTAAAAATATATCTCTTCCCAGATCTGTTCATTTCATTACACAGAGCGCTGTGATCCCCAGCAGCTATTTGACATTATATTTGCCAAATTAAATGTATGTGATTATCTTTTCTTCTGAAGAGTTCTCATTTATACTTGGCTTCCAAAGTACAGAAGCCAGATGGAAATTCTTAAACTCAGTTAACCCACTGCTTGCAGAACATATTTATAATATATGAGGATAAGGAAGTAACAGCTTCAGTAAAAAAATGTTTACTTCCTCTAAATAAGCCTTGGCTGGAACGCTGGGTGTTAGCCAAGAAGAGGAAAAGAGAAGATGTGATAAAGGAATGAGGAAATGATGTTCTGCATGGAAGTGGTTAACTTTTTCATTTAGGGACTCAAAACCATAACTACAGAAAAAAAATCATTAGTTTGCTTTTCCTATTAAACAATGAGTTCTCTAAAATGCAGCATGGAAAAATAGGATGAGGAAAAAAATAAGAGAAAAGAATATATATAGTGACCCTTCCTCTTACCCTGGTAGCACATTCAAAAATGTACATATGGTTCTTTAAACTGATCCTGACTGGTGAGCGACATTTTCTGCTTGCCTTAGGAAAATCACAGAACTCTGCACTTTAAAATTCCTCTGAAACATAAAACACAGACCCAATCAGACATCTATTTCTGCTCTGTAATCTAAATGTGATATATTATGGATATATTAATAATCTCCCTCATCTGCAAACAGGTGTGGAGGTGGGTCCCCAGCCACAAGGTGTTCTTAGAGCTGATATTTTGGACAAAATGAGGAAGATTGTCAAGCATGGCCTTGATTTTGTGCAACTTTTTAACGAAGGTAGAGTAAGTAATGAGAGAATATAGCCCCCTGTGTCCTGTTTTAGTGGACTAGCTCAGGAGATTATGTTTTTAAAAAAAAATATATTGGGCTACAACATTTTACAGAAAAATGGGGAAGAGGGGAAGTGGGGTGTTCTCTAGACCACCTAAGGGTGGCATCAGAAAGTCATAATTCCTGTCTAGCTCCTTTGGGTAGCTTCAAGAATAGTTCCTCTTTCTGAGGATTCAATAACCATACTTGATCTTAATCTTACAGTTGCTTCGAGAATCTGAATAGCTAACAATATATCTATAGTAGTATGTGCAAGGAGTGAAGTGATTAATTTACAAGTCTTCTGTGCATTGCTATCTAAAATTAAAGTAGTTTTTGTAAGATTGTTACACCTGTGTACTGTCTAAAATACATACTGACAAAAATAGTTGCTTAAATTCTTCTAGAGTACATTTTGTCAGGGGGCTCTTTTTGAAAGTAGAAGGAAAAGAATATAGTTGTGCACATCAGAATCTCCATTATTGTGCTGGAATGGTAAAGATTAAATAGCAGTGATATCATTCTGTGTTGTGCAGCACTATCAAAGACAGGCCTGTCAATGATTTCTTCATCTAGAAGATACATCTTTCTAAGTATACAGTAAAAGTCCCATTTCAGCACTGAATTTTGGTCTGGGCTTCGTATGCTACAATATGTGACTGGACCATCTTTCTGCAACTGAGCTTCTAGGGGACAAAAATCTGGAGCAGGACATTTTTATGGTACATGAACAAATCACTAGTGTATAAACCCTGAGAGGTACAGCATAGAGATTTAAGCCATTCTAAGGAGAATAAATAATGCATTGTTCTTTTTAAAAGGCAGCTGTTCATTTTGACATTAAATTACATTTATTGTTTCTAGGAAAGGAATTTCCACCGTGTACAATTGAGGTTTTTAAAATAATGGAGAAAGTAGATTATCCCAGGAATAAGAATGATGAAGTTATTGCTATTATTCACCCTAAACTGCAGGTAAATTCTAAAATAGTTTCCATTTATGACCTTTTATAAGTATTCCTGTGTTGCTTCTGCTACGCTGTAGTATTTTTTAGTAGTAAATATTTAAAATGACAATATTGCCAATGGGTTTATTGAATACTTTAGACCTTCCCTATGGTAAGTTCTGTCACTAAGGTCATACAGTATTTCAGTAACTGACCTGGGAATCGCTGAATCTAAAATCACTTTTGAACCTAACACTAAAAAGAAAAAGACAACAGGTTATCTCATTTTCTAAAACATAAATCTGATTTTGAATTCTAAAATAAGGGTCTGTTTTTAATCAATTATGAGCACGTGCAGTTTCCTTTTAGTTCACCTTTACCAGTGAATTCTATACAAGCTTGAAAACGAGGGCCAGAAAATTGAAATTACATCCTGAAGATTAAAAGGAATTCTTTTTAATGTTTTTGCTGTAAAACGCAGAGAATATGATTACTATAAACTCAGAAATCACATGAAATATACAAAAACTGGAAAGTAAATATTTTCTATTTATTTTCTTTCTCTAAGGATCAAGACTGGCAGCCACTGAACAATGGTGATCCTCTATTTTTGACTCTTGATGGAGAAGTAATTACATATAAAGGGGACTGTACAGTTTATCCAACATTTATTAATGAAGCTGCATATTATGAAAAGAAACAAGCTTTTGTAAAAACAGTAAAAGTGAAACTTACTGCAAAACACATCAGATCCTCAGTCTTAGACCAGAACAATTCTTAAAGGCTTATTACAGATTTTTCCTACAAAACGTGGATTTCTCCTTTGTGAAATCCAGTGTCATTCATGGAATAAAATAATGCAGAATCTAATTTTAAAATGTAATTTAATTAACATTGCTGAGCACTTTTAAGATGATACATACTGTCATAATGCTAGTTATGACTACTGTTTACTTTTCTAATAGAGTACTACAGATGCAAAGAATAAATATTTTTATGAAGTTTGTTAGTTGACACATAAAATTATTAAACAATGTACCACATGTGGGTTAGAGACTATAAAAATTATATCCAGCATCATATAGAAATATGCTCATCCACAAAACTACATCATATAAAAAAATTACAGCATTTCTACTTGAAGTTTGTTAGTTGACACTATATAAAATTATTAAACAATGTACCACATGTGGGTTAGAGACTATAAAAATTATATCCAGCATCATATAGAAATATGCTCATCCACAAAACTACATCATATAAAAAAATTACAGCATTTCTACTTCATAACCCAGGCCTCCAATAACCATCATTTTTTAAAATAGGGTGATCCTTGAAACTAATTCCTCAGATAAACATACAAAATATGAGACAAAGGAAAAGCTAGGGAGGGAGAAAGAGAGTAAATATATATATATTAAAATGCTATTATATTATTTGCATATACGACTAACTTCTATTGCGCTGAAGTGGAAGCTTTAGGGTTTGTTCTATTTTTCTTTTCATACTTAGGAAGATATAAAATAAGCTAAAAACATGATTTGAGAAAAATATACTAAAATGAAATTGAAAGCTTTTTAAAGTATTACAAGATTAAGTCAAGCTTTTGCTGATTTAACATTAATTTAAAAGTTAAAAGGTTTGAATTTAGAAAGGATCTAATAGTCAGAAACATAATGGAGCGATATTCAAATTCAGGAAAAAGATGCACTTATGCCATGGAAACTTTTGAAGAAAATTTTTATTGCAATGGAGACAAGAGCTTTATAACATTCTGGGTGCAGCCACCTAATGCTTATAGCATTTTCCAAATAAAATTGTAATCAACTGTTGTACCCCAGAAGTTTTCAGTGAAGGTAGCAAGATTAGGTAAATGCAATGCACAAACCATACCTGAGTATTTCAGAATGGAAATTCACAAGAATTCCATATGGGGAGACTTCTCAGAATTGTGAGACTGACTTGTCCTGTGTTTGTAGAAAGCAAACTTGTCAGAGTAGCTGAAAAAGAGAAGAAAATGGGGATTTAATTCATTTTCGAGAGTTTTTAACATGTTTGACAGAGAAAACAATAAAAACTTTGCATAAGGGTACAATAATGAGCTGTTTACTGAAAGATTCACTGTCTAAATAACCCCCAAATTCTATCTGTTGAAAATTGGTATCTTCCTTATTTACTACTAAGCCAAAAATCTTTTTTTCCTTGATTTGTGTAATCTCCCTGGCAATGAAATGAAAACACAAGACAAAGATGTTTATTGAATTACAAGTTTTATTTCTTTCATTTAAATAAACATTGTATAAAAAGTACAGAATGATCTGCTGCAGTCATTACTCGTAGCGTTCTTGATAAGACCCTTGAGACAGGAGATGTTGTGTGTGATCTGGCAGGGCTCTGTGCCCACAAAAGGAGGGTATTTTCTCAGCGAAGAACTTTCAGAAACAACCTCCCAGTTTCCTCCTCAGTTTTATCATACAGTTTTGTACCTGCACATTGACACAGCACATTCCTTATGGTTTTTGTGCCTTCCCTGTTTTGTGGCTACACCTACAGTGTGACCTCAGCACAGCGCAGAGACACCTGAAGTTATTTTCAGTGACAAGTCCACCCCCAGCAACAGGGAGCTCAGCGCAGGCTGGTTTGTTCTAGTTCCTGAGTATACGTGAAGAGGTATTTTATTAATTTTTTTTATGTAAAAACTGGCACTCTAAAGAATCCAACTGGAACTGCGTAGTCCTGAGGCAATATTCTTTGTTGGCAGTTTCAATGCAGAATTAACCAGCAAAGATGAAAGATTCCAAGACCACAGGAATTTTTCTCCTCATACTCACACGTCCTACGAAGGCGGCCAAACAACGCTCAAGACATTACATTGGTCTATTGACGCGCATGAATGTGCTTCCCCTCACATTCCTGTGCCCTGTGAAAACATAACTGAATGGAAGATTTCAGTTTGATCCCGTCCATCCAGGCCATCCAGGGGTAGGGACACACAGGATACGGCATCTAGAGAAGACCGGTCGGGCAGCGAGACTCGCGTTCACCATCCCTGCAAACAGCTTTGCGCTGTCCTTCCCGCCAGAGCCTTCCCTCACGCTCTCTTCTGTGGTAAGAAAGTCTTTTGGATCATTTTGCCCACAGGAGGCTTGGCTGTAAGAATCCAACGCAATTCATATTATCATTCACACGCAGAACAGAATTCACCTGAGTCTTTCCTAACTAGCACCTTTGAAACAGGCACCAAATGACTATCTATGATGAAAACCCATGACACTGAAGACACATAGTGTATTGACTGAAATTTAAAAGTACATGGAACAAATATTTCTTTTTATACATACACACATAAAGTAGAAAACTAAAAATATAATTCATTTTACTAGGTCATCACAGGTAGTGAAATAAAAAGTGCTACAGAAATGCATTACATAGTCCTTGGAATAAAAACCAAAACAAAACAAAAACAAAACCAACCAACCAACCAAAAAACTAGAATACCTTAAAAGTCTGCAATTGCATTGCATTTAACTTATTTTGTTCATTTTGGGAAGAAATACTGATTTCTTATTTTCCTGAAGTGGTTGAATACAGAAATTAATTTACTTTTAAATTGGAAGAGCTTCCACAGGGATAACTTATTTTTATGCAGCCAGATGCAACAGCGTGGAAAAGCTGACTGGGAAAAGTAAAGACCTTGTGACTGAAACAAACTCAGAAATATTCTCACAATTTCTGCCCTATTATTATATGGGAATGCATATATACATAGTAATAAATAAAGAGCAGTAAACACCATGTTATACCCTAGGGGTTACACACAGGGAAACAGATCGGGCAAAGCTAATGAGACCTGAAGAGGCTTTTCTCCAGCTCGGTGGGATCAAGCCTCCGATAACACTGACAGACAATACAAAAGCTTCAAATGTATCCAGAACATCGTTATTTCAAAACAATGTACTTCATTTAGTAGTCTTCAGAATTGAAATGCCTTTCTTTTCTCCGCGACAAGAACTTAACGTTTTTCAGTGTACAAAATGTTTCTCATGAGTTAGGGATTCCAAAGACAGCAGACTGGGATCACGATGATCTTAAATTTCCCACAAAAGGAAGAAATATCTCACATTTGACCTTTTTTTTTTCATCCAGTAAAAAGCTTAGAGCCAAGTTTGAGCAAACTTGGACAGCAACGGTTTTCGAGAGGCTCAAAACTGAACCAGTGAAATAGTCCATTTTAGTTTAGCTGCCTTGATTAAGTGGGTTAAAGTCATCAGGCCGTGTCACTGGAAGGTTTGTGTCCCAGCTGGTTACAGCTGCCTGAAACACCAACAAAGCTTCCAGCACCCACTGCTGATGCTTTTCACCTCCCGAACGACCACGTATCAAATGCAGCACAACTAAACAGAAGTTTCAGGCAAATCATCCATTTCTTCAAACGTATTCAGGGTGTTTTTGCTATTAGTTCTTGAATTATCTTGAACTTTGCTTGGATCTGCAAAAAAATGCATTATAAACAAAAGAGGATATGGTAGAAACTGTATATGCAAGATCAAATTTTTGCGCATCTATTTTTCGTTAAAAAAAGGTGTTTATTTAACCAGTAAGTTGTCAGTTTACTACCATATCTTTACAGAATTTTTTCTGTCTGCTCCTTTTCATTCTTACTGAAATATAAGCAATATAAATGTCAATTGACTAATTAACTTCAGAGCAAGTCTCCCAGGTCCTCATATGCCCCCGTGGTAAACTCTGAGGCCTGCTGCCAGAGGGACATCTGACACCTCAAAGTTGGGTCATTTTGCTGTTACACTTCCAACCCTGTCAGCAGATGGGTATCTTGAATTTCCTACTCAACATCCAGGAGGGGCAGTTTGTCATCTAATACATATCGCAAAAACATAAACATGACACTAGAACATCTAGGGTTAAAATCAGCAGACAGTACCTGGGTACAGTGTTGTCAGGCAAAAATCAGTCTGATTTCTTCCCAGTTTTGCAATGCTATATTTAACTACTTAAGACCAAACTGAACTTTATAACAACTTTTTCAAAATAATATTTTCTGTCTATTGGAAAGTTCTCCGGCCTTGTACCACTCAAATACCACTCGAGAATGTAAAACTCAGATCAAGCATAACTGCTTAGAGAAAAATAAAGAGGTAAAACCACCATGTTTTGGTGCCAAGATGTAAATAACGAGATTTTGTAACCAACCCTCTCTCAAAATCTTTAAAAAGAATTAACACCTCTACCATATTAGCCATGAGTTTCCCTAGCAGTAAAGTGTGGTTAAATATCTAGATTACCAGAGGTTATATTTTTAAAGGTATAAAACTATATCAAAGCATTTCTAAGGACAAAATAATTTCACAAATATGGTCATGTAAAATTCCGCAGTACCTGTTGGCCCTGGATCTTCATTAATAAATGAAACATGTGTTTTCCATTCGGTCCATTTCACTTCATTAATCCTGTTTACATTGTATATAAGTTGGGTTACTGTTATTAGCATGCATTATCTCCCAGTCACAGAGCTGCAACTTCCCCTTTTATTTTTTTTATTTCTTTTTGGGATTGTCAGACTTTACCATCAACACCTGCTTTGCTAGTACTAAAAGGCTGATGGTTTTTTACAGTGTCATGTACTATATGAAGATAAGAATAATATTATGACTATTTTATAATTTCACATGTTATAACTACAGTCTCAAAACTCACCTTAAATATTTTTTCATAAAACAGCATAGCAATATATTCTTTAATATAGTAATCAATTATCAATTTAAATATAATTACTCCTTAGAATATTACGACAGTGTCATTTACTGCAAGCAGACTTGATACCTGTATATTAAAAACATATGAAGTTGAAAATCTGTTTTGTTACCAAAAAATTTTCTACATAAAAAGCCTATACATTTCCCTTTTCTTTTAAACAATTGGTCACAACTGAAAAAAACCCAACAGATTTTTGTACACCTCATATAATCTATAGAGATGTAGAAATAGTTTAAAGAGGCTTTTGAGGAGAAATAACCCTGAAGGAACATACAGAGCAGAATTGATAGCACAGCATTCCAGCTTTGTTTACCTTAAACACACCCTGGTGTCATTCTCAGCCACTTTGCACCGTTCTC